AGCTGTCGCTCGCTTGTTCACATTGGCTCCCATCGATCAGCTTTGAGGTACGTCGTTGTCTTACATATCCTCTACCACACGAGCATGCAACATCACAGCAGTATGTGAGGTCGAGAACCAGCACTAACGGCGACAGGATATTCGCATCACACCATCTCAGTCTTCTTCGTTTCTCCGGCTCGACATCTCATTGGCCCCGTAATACCAACGGCTCAATCAGGTCCGCGGCTCGTTGCTTTCGGTACACCTATAGGGTGACGGACCGGCCATGATGTCATTCGCATACAGGGTGGACGAACTGCTCGCACTTCGCGACTCGGTGTCGGAATCAGCTGTGTCGATTGAGAAGTTTCCTGATGAGGATGTGATCAGAGGTCAGTGCCGGGCCTACCCTCCTCACCCTTTCACTTTTCACCGTTCACCTTTCCTATCGAGGAATATCATACCCGACGCGCGTCGTCTTGAGTATCCTTACCCTACTCACACTACACCCGACGTACTCTATCACACTCTTCTATCGCTAGGCTCGTAGCCTTCCTTTCTTCCTGCTACTGCTACACAACGAGGAGTAACTAATTGCGCTTTTCGTTAGAACACGTCCTTCGCCCGTCAGCGTCCGCATCGGCGAATCTGCCCAGCAGAGCATCAAACAGAAGCTTGCGTGTACCCACCCCAGCCAATCTTGTTCCTTTCGGACCTCACAAACGGCCATCACCCACGCCGTCAATCAAGCGCGGCAAGGCGGAGAAGCTTCTCAAAGAACACGGCAGCCCACCCGGTATACGAGTCACTGCAGGTGGACGTATAGTTCCTAGCGACCTTCCACCACTCGGCACGTCCCGATACGGAGACGCTACTTACAGACCACCACAACCATCACTGCGCGTCGCACCAGGCAACGTCATGCAAGCACCAACTCACCAGAACCCCAACAACACCGCTCGCATTGAAGTCGTCGGAGGTCAACCTGTCATCTTCGTTGGCGATCGCATGTTTGCACTGCCAGCAGTCAACGCAACCAATCCTACGATACCTCCCGCCGGCCCCGCTGCTATGGATCCCATAGGCAAGCAGATGCTGGATCCGTCTACCATGACCACTCATGGAGCTCCATCGGGAGCCGCGTTCGGGCCATCGCGCTCCAACACCCACACACCGTTCGTTGGCTTGGACCTCGCGACTCTCAAGACGCAACAAGCTCTCAAGAAGCAGGAGCTCCGCACTGTAGAGCAGACTGAGGTACTGCAAGCAGGCCAGCAGAGCGAGACATGGCGTGCGGGTATGATCGAGAAGAAGCGGTGCCTCATCGTCGAGCTCGACGCACTTCGAAAGCAGATAACGGCGGTCGAGTCAGACAACAGCACCACTCAACATGGCGCCTTCTCCGGCGCGAATGCAGACCCAAGAGCCATGCCGCCTTTCGGACCGCAATTTCAGCAACCGTTTGCTCCTCCCATGTACCCCTTCGCGGCGCCGTATCCGCCCATGCCGGTTTATCAACCCCAACCTCAACCTTTTGGCCCGCTATCCGCCTTCTCTGCGGAGCCCCCACCTTTTGTTCCGGCCGCAACAAACCCGCCTCATTCCCCGCCAGGGTCCGCCAGCCGCCGCTCTCGAGCGATTGAAATCAAGCCACCACCTCCCGAGGAAGTCAAGAAGGGATCTGCTCTAAACCCAAAGAGTCCTACATACGAGCCTGTCATGAAGACTAGTACCACCCAAGGCACTGTTGCGCCCACTCCGTCACCAGAGAAGCGCTCTCCTTGGCGAGGACAGCAAATGCCAGTGGCTGGCAAGCATGACCGCCGGATGTCTTCGCAGAAGCATAGTCTGTCTAGCGTTGACACCATGGACTTCTTCCCTACAAACACGCATGAGCATTCCTCAACACGAGTAGCGCCACAGATCAAGGAGACTGAGCAGTCATCCAATGAGAATACTGCAGTACCATCTACACCCGAGAAACACTGGCCAGCTAGTCCATGGAACGAAGGCGATTCTGGCCGTTCCAGGACTAACGATCCTGCACCCAAGCTCACCTCGTGGCCTGAGGCATTTGGTAAACAACCATCTCTGCCTTCCATACGCCAAGGCCTTTCGGAGCAACCTCAATCCACTATGATGGACCACGCTCCTACAATGGGCCCTAACATGTCAATCTCCGCTTCTAGCAGCAACATGGCGCCGCGAACCAGCTCCGGTCAACGCACCGGCACCGACGAGAACTGGCCTTTCAATGGCAAGCCTGTAACACATGTTCCGTCTACATACCAGGAAGGCTACCAGGCCGGCTATGACCACGTTGGCATTCCTGACAGTCCCGAGGTTCTACAAGGCTACATCCAGGGTCTTCTGCACTTCCTGACAGACGAGTCGAAGAAGCGTCAAGCTGAGTATCGACGCGGTACTGATTCCAGGACGCCTTCGCTTCGAGGGCTTGTTGCCGGGTCCCTACCCCATGACTCTGCTGTCGAGATGACTTTCAACCACAACAACGCCAGCGGGGCCCAGGAAAACGTTCGATCATCGAAGGGTAGTATACCAGATGATATGCGCCGCGACTCAGGATATGGCCAACAAGGGAACGTTAAGGATGTTCCCGTTCAGTACATGGTTCGCAACGAAGCCATGCAGATTCCCAATCGCGTCGCCTCTGCCGCGCAGTATCTGAACCCTCCAGTGATGTTCCCCCAGAGGATGACGTCTGGATATCGACAAGTATTCCCAAGCATCGAGGATGATGCGAGCAGGGGCATGCAGGACAAGGGTATCGCGTCCCGGGTAGACACTATGCCAAACGGCGGCATGTCCAACCAGTCTTTCGGCAATCAGATCCAGAATCGCAGCTACAGTACTGCGCTCAGCATGCAACGCTTCTACCCGACACCCAAGGAGTTGAGCCCAAGCGAGCTCGGTGGCTACGGCGCGCCTGCTCCTCGACACTTTGCCAATCAGCGCTTGTCGGGGCTCGATGGCGCCATGGACGACTTGTCGGAGATGATCAACGACACACACCTTGAGGAGCGTCGTTCGTCTGTTGCGGTAGACAGTCGCTCTACCGAAGCGCCCATGTCTGTGGAGTACGAGGAGAGCAACGCAAGCTGCTTCGGGGTATCCAGCAGCAAAGGCAAGCAGAAGGCGCCATCTTCCCCCGCGAAAGCATCGGATATCGAGCGTGGTACCGCAGCATCTTCACCCGCCAACCCACCGAGCTCCCCCAAGAAGTCCGGAGAGCATTCGCCTGCAAAGGCCAAGCTCGAGCAGGTGACGAACAAGTTCCGACGCAGCAAGAAGGACGACCCTCGAACCATGTCGCCCGACGAGAGGCAGAAACGTTCAGACAAGTGGCGACAGCGCTTCCAGCAACTCAAGAGGACCGAGATCGATGAGATAGAGGCGCATCGTAGGAACTCGCGCACCTGATTGCTCATCGCGCGTTGTCGGGTTGTCCGCGTCAGACACCCTAGTATGCTGGTTGGATACGTCTTAGGACTCGTTAGGTCTTGGTGTGATACACCCTCTTGACGCTCTTCTCTGTCGCAGAAAGTATCCTTGGATTCGGCCGAGGATTACATTACCCTCATCGAGTACGCGACACGTCCGACATCTTCTCTTAACGGCAACATTTTCAACGTACACGAACTTCCTTGAACAACTTTCCACTGCGGCACAGCAATAATTACGGCAGCCCACGCATATCTCCGACAGTCTTCCTGCAACATTTCTTTTGACATTGGTGGACTGGCAGAACACGGCAAGGGACGTGTCATGGGCGGAGACGAGTCATCTGGCCAGCCATCCACGTCTTATCTCCTTTCCGTCAGCATCTTGCGTATAACTCCAGCCATTGTATGAATAGATAGTCAGTATAGTCATCCGTTGCGTAGTAGAATAATGATAATAATAAAAGCGTGCCTTGTAATCAGTGTCCCTTCTTTGCAGTCATCTGGTGGGTGTTGTCGGAGTGAGCTGACGAGATGAATCACGCACGGCCGATGTGTCGGAGTGACGGATAGGGTCCGAAAGCGACGCTATGCCGAAACAAGAAATGGTTCTAGAACAGATTGGCCGCCGAGGCCGTCGTCAGTGGACGAAACAGCGGAAACATGCGCGTCGCCATCACCAGCATCCGATGTACAGCTACGTTCAGGATATGTGTGTGCGAGTATAGGAGGTTGGTGTCATTCATTTACATTGGCTCAATTCAAGAATCACGATGGATGATGCATGTGTCTCGGAGTCGCACAGCCGTGTTTGGTGCGATGACGTGCCGTTATGCTTTGCGCGTTGCTGATAAATCGGGAAATAGCGTGATTTATCGACAGCTGCGGTCGTGGGGAAAAGAGGCACGGTGCTAGAACGGTTAGATGGGTGCGCGTTCTTGGCTGGGAGCGCGGCACAGGGTTCGGATGGCGGGTAGGAACCATCACGACACCAAGGCGCAATTGTCACAGGATCTGGATTTCCAAGCATTGCAAACCCATGTTTTGATGTTTGAGTGGTGGCTGAGTGATTGGTGATGGATGCCGTGTCGGTCTGGCTGGCTGGCTGGAGTGAGGCTAGGTGGCTTCGCACGCGGCTTCCCTAGGTAGACAGGGATTCGGGCGGTCCCACTTGGCCTCCGCCATCATTCGCCGCAGTCCGTACTTGTCGCCGGCACGGCTCTGGCTTCCTTCCTTCCCAACCTGCTGGCTGGCCCTACTACACCACCACTACTCCTCGCTCCCTGTTCCCGACTCCTCCCTGCTTGTCTCTGCAGCGCCGCCAACCCCATTCACGCGCACCCCCCTCTCCCATCGCCTGCGCCTTCGTGACGGAGCCATTCTTTCACCGAGCCGCCCCAGCCACACGCACCGCGACCCTGGACATTGCCCTCACCCAAAGTGACATGGCCCATTGATCGTGCAACTGCGCAAACACCGTCTCCCTGCACCCGCCCAGCTTCCGCCCAATACACCAGAGTCGCCCGCTGCACTCGCCCACCGGCCTGTGTAACTGCTATGACGCAGCTCTTCAACTCGTCCACATCAAGCCACTCCACCATGGCCGAAAAGACGGAGAAACGCACCTTCTCGGGCAAGGCGCTGTCCACCAATAAGTCAGTCAATCCAAAGGACGGCCAGGTCTCGCAGCGCATCAAGAACTTTTTCCGCATCAACAGCAGCAACGACGCCAACAAGTCTTCCGACGATGGCAGCACAAACTCCAAGAACGAAAAGTCGGGGTTCCGCCAATCGCGGTTCATTCCCCACATCTCGCGCAATCGCTCCCAGACCGTCGCCAGCGAAGGCAACCCCCTGGATGACAGCGTGTCGCCCACCGCGCACGCAAACCCGTACTTTGCCCACCAAGGACCGCCCGCGCTGCGTCATCACAATGCAGGCAGCGTGCCTCCATCACCCCCAGACACCCCCGCAATGCCCAAGACGCAAGTAAATGGCGCAGCGACTACCGACGATCACGCCACAACAGCTGGGAAAGAGGAATTGGCTAGGAAACTACGAAGGGTGGCTTCCGCACCCAATGCCCAAGGTCTCTTTTCTTCGGGAAAGAATACTGATAGGCCACAGACTGCAGAACTCGGCAAGCAGCCTGTATTACACCACCCCAACTCGTCCACCCTGAGCATGGTCGAGACGAATACCCAGGATCCGACTCACCTCCTACCCATAGAAGCTGGCAAACCCATACCCTCGGCAGGCCAAATCCGACAATCTGTGGCTTTCAGGAGAACCTACAGCTCGAATTCCATCAAGGTCCGCAACGTCGAGGTTGGACCGGGAAGCTTCGACAAGATCAAGTTGATCGGCAAAGGCGATGTCGGAAAGGTTTACTTGGTGCGGGAGAAGAAGTCCAGCAGACTATATGCTATGAAGGGTGGGTAAATCGCATCTACAATTCAGACAACATGCGCTAACAGATTCAGTGTTGAGCAAAAAGGAGATGATCAAGCGAAACAAGATCAAGCGCGCATTGGCTGAGCAGGAAATCCTGGCCACCAGCAACCACCCCTTTATTGTTACTCTCTACCACTCTTTCCAGTCCGAAGACCACCTCTACCTCTGCATGGAATATTGCAGTGGTGGTGAGTTCTTCCGAGCGCTCCAAACACGACCAAACAAGTGCGTTGACGAAGATGCTGCGCGATTCTATGCAGCTGAAGTCACGGCTGCGTTGGAATACCTCCACTTGATGGGCTTCATTTACCGAGACCTGAAGCCAGAGAGTATGTTAAATCTCGCGCTCTATGCATCACTATACTAATAACCTTAGACATCCTCCTCCATCAGTCTGGGCACATCATGTTGTCAGACTTCGATCTGTCGAAACAGTCGGAACCCGGCGGTCGCCCGACCATGATCCTCAGCGGCCGAAGCGGTACTTCCTCGAACAACCTACCAACCATCGACACGAAATCATGCATAAACAATTTCCGAACCAACTCGTTTGTCGGAACCGAGGAATACATTGCGCCAGAAGTCATCAAGGGCTGTGGACATACGAGTGCGGTCGATTGGTGGACCCTTGGCATATTGATCTACGAGATGTTGTACGGAACTACGCCTTTCAAGGGCAAGAACCGCAACGCGACGTTTGCCAACATTCTTCGAGATGAAGTGCCCTTCCCCGAGGGTTCTGGTGCGCCGCAAGTGTCAAAGTAAGTTGCAAATGGTACCTGGTGTGCATTCTGTGCTAACAATTGTAGTCTCTGCAAGGCCATCATTCGCAAGCTTTTGATCAAGGACGAGACTAGGCGACTTGGATCCCGTGCCGGCGCTTCCGACATCAAGACGGCACCTTTCTTCAAGACGACGTCATGGGCCCTACTACGGCACATGAAGCCACCGATCGTCCCTCACCAAGGCCAAGGTGTCGAGACACCCAACTTCCGGAACGTTAAGGAGTCCCAGAGTGTTGACATTGGCGCCGCGAGAGTCAAGGGCGTCCCGCTAGACTCTGGTCTCGCTACGCCGATGGGCGAGTTGGCAGATCCGTTTGAGGAGTTCAACAGCGTTACTCTGCACCACGACGGAGACGACCATCACCATGAAGACCAACACTCGTCGCATCTTCACCTCACACAAACCAACTCACAACGATAGACCAAGGGGATAATTCGTATGATAAACACACGCACTGTATTCATCACTCACCGGAGGACCTCGTATATCGGAAAGTCGTCCTCTTGACTCCACTCATTTGTTGCGACGGATTCATAGACAAATGCGTTTCTTCCTCATCACAAGCGGCGTTTCAGGGAGTTTCATTCTAGCTTTCTTCATTTCTTGATCGCGCAGGGATCTCTCTCTCTCTCGAGCTCGTTTTCTTCTCTCTTACCAATCAGCATTCTCGTTGTGCTGTAAAATCTCTCTCTGGCGTTGTCTGTATTTCTTGTTGTGAACATGGTTGTGGATTATGCTGGTCTAGTGTAGTCTAGTCTGAGAGCGGAGGCAGCTTGGACAGGGAAGATGGTGATTGTGATGGTGGTGGTGATGTGTCGAGGGACGGATGGTACTGGGAGGGCGTAGCAGAAGCAATGAGAACGATATCTTTGAGATGCTACCTGTGCTGTGTGATGTGATCAGTGAAATTAATGTAATGTGTCGTTATGTTTCGAAACTTCTCGTTCAGCACCCGCAGGTTATGATGGAGTGGTCGAGGGTAAGAAACGCATGGGCCAACGCGGAGTTTGCGGGGAAGACGCGACAACGATTCGCGAGAAACCCTTGTTTCTTGTCAAACAACGCGACGAAACGAGGACGGACGCTACGCAAGTACCTTGAATAACACCGGCACGCCCAGCCCATACGAAGTCGAACTCAGGAGGTCGTATACCGGGATCCATTCTTGAGCAAGCTACACAGCAGAATCCAATCCAATCCACGCACGATCGCGCATCCAGCGCAAACCAATTCACCCCGCCGCTGCTGCACGATCTCCCACGCTCGCTCGCCATCTCTCATATCCACGCGCGGATATAGATACAACACCTACCCACCTACCTACCTACTCATCCACACAACCACCCCAGTTCTATACCATTTGTACACATCTCAAAAAGGAGGGAAAACAGACCATGGCCTCAGAGCCCGCACCGACAGAACCAAACTTCGGCGCCTCGCAAACCTCGGAAGGAGAAGAAAGTCTCAGTCCGCTTGAACAAGAGGTCTTGGATGAATATGCGAGATTATTGGGGAATCTGAATAATGTTAGTCCACCTCCTCCATCCACCCCCCTCCATTCCTTCCCCCTCCATCAAACCCCCTCCAACCC